TGTATTTATATTCATAATAAATATTTCTATCTAGAATGACAAGAAAATGTTTGATTAGACTATAGTCTAATGCCAAAACAAAGTATCTACTACAACTTTATTAAATCAAATGAACAAAAAAATGAATAGAGAAAAGCAAAAGAAACGGTACTGTTTTTTTTTTTGTTCAATATAAAGTACATTGATAAGCATGAACCGATTTTAATGATAATCTCTAAAAATAAAAAAAATAATATTGAAACATAAAGGATACACTAAAGAGTTTTTACTTACATTATTTGTTCTATGCATCGTTTGGTAATGTTAACAAACAAAGCGGTGGTCGTTTATCAACTAAATAATCATTAATAGTCAATGGTGTTTGTGGACGTGGCACGAATTCGAATTTCATATCATCGAATGCATTTTTATTCGTCGAACAAGATTTCAAAATATTAAGAACATCATTTTTCATGTTGATCGGCACTTGTGCATCCCAATCGCTTGGATATGGAACACGTATGATATTTTGTTGCCGTTGTTGTTGTTTTTGTTCTTCCATCAATATTAGTTGTTGTTTATAATTGTCGAGAATACGTTGTCGAAGAGTATCATAGGGTATGTTTTCGTTTCGATGATCACGATTGGTTTTAATACCGAATTCATTATAAAATTCTGCAATGCATTTATCGATAAAATCAGCTGAAAAACCATGGACTAAATGAGATAATTCAATATGAGTACGTTCACATTGAAAATATTTCTCATGTGAACAGCATTTTACAGCATGTCGAAGTGCTAATTTTAATAAATTTGACGGTTCAGATGTGCCATAATCGAATTTGTTTGGTATTTCGAATCCATCTGTCTTTGGAGCACGATAGATTTTTGTAAGCAGACAACCATTATGATTATGTCCTAATTCGAGATCAAGTAGACGTATTGTAGTTCCAATCGAAATCGGTAACGATGCAATTTTCGGATGTTGTTGATTGATTATGAATCCATTCGACAACAACTGATGTTTTCCTGTCCAGTTATTCCATGTCAAAATGAAGTCATCGCGATATCTAGAATAGATATAGAAATTAATTTATTTTCATTCAAAAAAATAAAGCTAGAGATTGAATAGTTACCTGCCAAATACTTCTTTTTTCTTATTCATTAATGTTTGTACTAATGAAGATGATTGACCAAAGAATAAATAGATACAAACCAATGGAATTGTCATCAATGATCCGGAAGCACTGCCATAAACTTGTTGATAAAGTTTGTTTTCATAAATGAAAAATTGATTTCGTAAAACAAGACGAACTAGTTGCAGAATCGTTTCATTTGTTAAGCCTTCACTAATTGTTTGTAATTGAGATCCGTAAAGGCCAAGGAACGTTTCCAGTGCTTTAATAGCCATTTCATGAGAAAATTTTAAGGTAATTTCATTAATATTAAACGTTCCGAATTGAGTGGTTCGTAGAAGATAACCATCTTTAACATATTGTTCCAAAGTATAGACAATATCATCGCCACTCGAAAATTTTCTACAACCTGTTATTTGATTAAACATCGACCAAAGGATATTACTAAGATACAATGTGAGGTTCCAGGTTGGACCATTTTTGCATATGATAATAGGTTGAAGTGGTTTGTGGTCCTATAAAAAAATATATTGTTTTTTTTTTTAATATAAAATGAGACAAAAAAAAGAGGGAAGAAAACATACCTTGCACGTATCTGGTACGAAATGTAAATAATTTAATCGTATAGTTGATCGTAGTTGCGGATACATAAGTAAATATTGAGGATCCGTAATCAATTTCGAACCAAGTAACGTATTCAATGTCATTTCAATATCTTTTATAATGTTGTTTAAACATTGTTGACTAACTTCTGGATTTGTTCGATCGACTTCATTGATCATATTGTAGATGCCTGTTGTTTTAATATAATTCGATGCTTTTTGTTGAAATCGTTTTGCTGCATATGTATGAAATGAATAGCCTTTGTACGATGCACGCATAATACGTTTTTCTTTAGCTAAATTAGATTGTATCGATAAAATTGTTTGTTTATGTTGTTGAGCTTCTTGACGAGCATTGTCACTCATTTCAGTGTGTGAATCCAGGTTATGTATCATGTCTGTTATATCATTCCAATCGAGATCACCGAGGACACGTGGCACTTTATGATGATGAGATAGTTCATTATCATTCGAAGTATTTATACTATCGTCCTTTATTTGTAGATCCTTGATAAATTTCATGATGTGTTCAACCATTTTGAATATCTAGACAAAGCTAGTATAGATTTTGTTATATAATATCTAGAAAATAACAAGAAAAAATTATTTTATTTGACAAATCAAAGTTATGAGAGGGAAAGAGAGATTTTTTGTGAGAAGAAGAAGAGGAAATTATCGGACAAATCTATTGATGAGATAAGCTCCAATAGTAATTGGTTTCGGCCTTGCTCAAGAGCCTCATCAGGTGGCTTTAGACAATATTCACTTACAAAAAAAGAAAGTAATATACCAGAGCAGCCACGACCGATCTCGTGATCAAAACAAATGACATTTCAAAATCGACCACCATACAACAACTTTAGGGTTCAGTTAGGACAGCCTATCTGAAACCTTTCAGCAAAAAGAAGTGACGTTTCGAAGAAAAACATCGTTGTAATGTATGGTATTATTGCCCCTTGCATTCAGACTTCTTCTATATCCTAGGACAATGTCCTCAGACTTCATCTTTTTATTAGGAAATATTCGAAATCAAGTTCGTACACACAA